CAGCAGTGTACGAATGCTTTTGGGGACCCTCTGCCTTAATTCTGATGTGAACACAAAGCGTGAAATGCCCTTGGGGGGGAGGGAGGGGGGTAAAACATCCCTGAATTAACACTTTGGCATTTCTATGCATGCTTTATCTTTTCTTTTAGAACGGAAATGAGTGACATGACTTATGTCGAGCCTGCAGCATGAACCGTGCTTGAACCAGGATCCACGCTGCAGAGCTGGGTCCCCAGCCAGCAGTAAGGAAGTAGTGCTCGGTTAGGGAGGGAATGGAGTGCTGCACACTTGGGCAGCCTGTTGCAGCACCAGACATGAACCAAAGCTCATGGCACCTCCAAGAAGCATGTGCTTCTCATCGCCCTCCTGCTTGTGGGGAAACTGAGGCACAGGCAAAGGGAGCAACTTAAAGACCACAGTTTAATATGCATCTGTTTTCAGTAGGGACTATGATAGTGTACTGTCTATGTTTAGAGCTCAAGGGAGCTGGAAAATCCTAACCTGGCTTTGATGGTTAACCCAGGTTTAGCTAAACCATGTGGCAATCGAAAACACCACGTAGCAGCTACAGCTCTCCTCCGGCTCATGAGCACAGGTAACAGCGCAACAGAAGTTGAAGGCTGAAGCATCACCTTGTCTTCCCTGAACTGGGATAAGTTCATTTAAAACACAAAACCTCCCAGGGAAAAAGGGAATCGAGGGCTGAACTGTGCCAGTCTCTAGACGTAGAAGGCTTCAAACCCATTGCTTTCATAACCGACTATATACTAGTAGCATTTAAGCTCAACTCTCAGAGAAATAAGGGCCTGTAGGGACAAGGACAAGGAAGAATGGCTTTAATCTGCCAGAGGGGAGACTGAGATGAGCTCTGAGGCAGAAGCTCTTCCCTGTGAGGGTGCTGAGGTGCTGGCACAGGGTGCCCAGAGAAGCTGTGGCTGCCCCATCCCTGGCAGTGTTCAAGGCCAGGTTGGACACAGGGGCTTGGAGCGACCTGCTCCAGTGGAAGGTGTCCCTGCCCATGGCAGGGGGTTGGAACTGGATGAGTTTAAGGTCTCTTCCACCCCAAACCGTTCCATGATTCTATGTCTGCAGCCCAGAGAGGGGCTGGCCAGTGCTAGGAAGGCACAAATAAATATAGAAATAAAATGCAGAGTCATTTGAAGTCTCCTGCTCGCCAGGAGGGTGCCACACGCTGCCTCTTCCTGCCTGCACTCCTGCTCCTTTAAATCAACAGCCAGAGGACAGGTTTACACAGGACAATTACTTCCGCATTCAGTTACAGAGCTGCACTACAGCTCCTCGTCTCATTCCAGCAGGGAAAGGTTTCCCCCAAACCAAACCTCTTCCCTCTTGCCCTCTGCTTCCCAGGGCTGTGCCAGGAGTCACTGGGGACACTATGGGCAAAGCCACAACGCAGGACATGGAGGGCAGGGGTGTGCTGGCACTGCACAAGGAGCCCCACCACTGCCCTGGCTGATGGGGCTGGAGACCACCAGCACCCCAGAGCACCTCTGCTGCCTCTGGGGGCTCCTTGCCCAGCCATAGGGAGTCAGAGATGAGGCACAGGACTGTGCTGACATGAAGACAGACAAGTAAGTGCACAGGGGTGCAAGCCTGGGGATGTGGGGCTGGCCAGCCCGGGCATGGTGACCTTCTGCAGCAGCATCACCTTCACCTTCTCCATCAGGTAGCGATGTTCTTGCTTCCTCAAAGACAACACAGCTTTCAACTGGAGGGGACCAAAGGATGTTGAGTGATGCAGCTGGTGGGGGCAGCTCCCAGCTGGGGCCACATTGCCATGGGCTGGGACCATCCCCAGGGACCATCCCCAGGGCTTTGCAGCAGGAGCAACAGCCCTTCCATGCACCCATGTGAGTCACTGTCATTCTCCACGGCTCCATGACCTTGACCACAGCCCCTGAAACTCCAGCTTCTTTCTCCACCCTTCCTCTACGGACTATGAACACTTCCAGGCCACAGCTATCTTTAGCAAGCATCCACACAGCATCCAACCCAGCACAGTGTGGTTTTATCTCAGGTTTCTAGGCGTTAACTGCAACAGGGACAACACACTCCCCCTTCTCCAAGATATGCCAGCCCCACTGGATTGCGTCCAGCCCCACAGCAAGCTCCAGCTTCAACTACACACAGCTTTTCATCTAACACAGAACCCACCCAAAGCAGAGCACGGAAACCCTCTGCCATCCCAGAGGGAGATCTATGTGGATCTCCCTAGATAATCACATTTAAACCACCAGCAAAACAGACCTTTGATTAGTGGCCATGGAGCCCATTCACAGCGACAGCATGTCAGGTCAATGTTCACTCCCAAAATCAACTCTGTGCCTCAGGAAAGGGATTTCTGATATTTGTATTTGATGGGCTACATTTGAGGTCTGGTTAATAAACAGTGTACTGGGGTGTGCCATCTGGCTGGCCACAGAGCATGCCTAGAAATAACACTGATCATCATCATATGGTGCTGCTTTAAAAGGCGGTTTGACAAAAGCCTGAGCAAGCTGATTGAAATGACTGAGGCATGTTCTGTGTGCCCTGAAAGCTCAGCCTGCCCCTCAAACCGGGGGGTCAGAGTCCAAAATGACACTGCTGTTGCACTCAGACACTGATCTCAACAGCAGTTGCTTCTGCTTAAGCCAGCACGCAGGAATTACATGCAACTCAGAGATGGGCTGGTGCTGTAGAGTAATAAATAAATTAAACATACAGCTTACAGTGCTTTAATGGCAATGAAACAGAAGCTGGTGGCTGGTGTTGGGCAACGCTTCTGTGCCACATCCCAAGCAGGGATTGCCCGGAGGGAAGGAAGGACACGCACCACTCCTCCAGGGACTCAGCAGCAGGTAGACATCAAACCCAGAGCTCCAGACCCAGTGTTTCCAGCATAACCCTCATTCCTGGATTCACACACACATCCCTGCAATGCAGAAGAGGTTCTCCCAGCCATTGAGACAGACCCCACTGCAGGGATGCACGATGGTAGCCACATCCCAGCATCCATCCCGGCCACTGACTGCAGTTGGTGTCTCTAGTCCCGTACTTCTGCCATCTGCAGCTGCCTGCTTCAATGCACTAGAAATGATGGGTGCATTTTTCCTGTTGGATTTTGCATCCCACTTCATTTTCCCATATAAATCACTGCACGAGGCTGCCCAGCTCGCAGCCACACTGACGCCCCCAGCCCTACAACACAGACAACTGACCTAATTTTCCTCTTTTTAAACACTCAGAGGTCATCTCCATCTGCAGCAAACCCCACAGAGCAGAGAAGAAAAGCACAAAGCCATCTCTGTTAGCATCAGTCCTCCTCCCCAAGCCTGCCTCCAAATTGTTCTGTGCTGCCCCTTCTAAATGCCTGAGGATCTGCATCTCTCACACCCCTCAAGGCTGTATAATGGTGTTGAAGAGGAGAAGGTAGGGAGGTCCACTGCCATTTCTGTGTCCATACACGTTGGAGTTATGGCTCACTATAAGCACCAACTCCACCTCATTCTCCTTCACATCTCTGATCATCACCTGAAGCTCCCAAGGGCGTTTCTTGGCTCGTTCCACGTGAGACATCACCCATGTCTGTGCTTCGCCTGCTGCCCAGTGACTCAGAACGCTCCCTCCCAGCTAACCCAGTTGCTCCAGCAGCACCTCCCTCCTCTCCCAGCCCTTGAAGATAAGATTTGCCCCATCTGCTTTTCTTCCTGATTTCCCTTTCTAGTAAATCTGACCAAACTCTTTCTAGTCTGTGGCAACCCCTGATGCTTCCAGGCTCATCCTCCCATACCTAAAACAACCACTAAATAAAACAAGTGAAAAACTCTATGCTTTCCACCCCCAAGAATCACTTTTTTTAGTAAGAAAGTCACTCCAGTCAACTGCAGCATTCCTTGAAGCTCTGGTCTTTCAGAGCTTATACAAGCAGAAAGATACAGCATCGAAACAAAAAGGAAGGACATCAGCAGAGGGTTTGGGTGTTTGGAAAAGCAAAATACATGTATACAATAATGGCAAAGAGCATGTCCCTGCAGCACATGTCGCTTCTGACTCAGCCCCAGCCTGGGCAGGGAAGTGCAGATGTTCAACACACGCTGAGCCTGCACCAAGCCCTCAAAGACAACAAGGCTGATGCCAGCACAAGCCCATTGCATCTGCACGCAGGTATCACCTCCCTGGCAGTGCCCTGGAGCTCTGGGAACACCTCTGCTGGTGGCAGGAGGAGAAGGGAGCCCAGGAAGGCTGGAGCACCCCAAAGGATCAGGCTGCTGCTCAGCCCATTCTTTGCAGTAACAGAGACACCCTCAACTCAGCAGCAAATCTGAATGACAGATCACTGGTTGGAAAAGAAGATAATTGCATGTGGCTTTTAAAAGGAACAATGTGAGGGTGGGTAAGGTGAAATGAAGAGGAATACATTCATTATACAAGAGCTCAAAGCATCAGCTGCGGTGACTTTCTTAACACAGCCAAGGAGAGGAGGTGGCAGGGTTAAACAACAGGCAAGGCAGGAGCTGACACTGCTGTCGGGCTGCTGCATGGCAAAGGCAGAGCATAAAGCTTCATTTGCCTCCATGTAATAAATAACTCTTTGGAAAATAAACCTCTCCAAAGCTGTGCTCCACCCCACCTCCCCTCAAGCATGAAGGCAGTCCCATCCAATAGGGACTAATGGATGCACAAGGACGAGAGGATGCACAAGAGGAGATCTTCTGCTTCCATACAACTCAGAAATGCAAGTTACCTCCCTTGTGGGCTGCCAGGGCTTTTGCCACAGCTATAGATATTTTTATAATCCAGCTCTTGAAAGAGAGGAATATGCTTCATGAATTTTTATAAGCTCAGCTTCCTTCCTGCTTTTTCTTGTCTTTTCCCCCCCTCTAAATACCAGCACCAGATGCCAAGATCCATCCTTGCCTGATCTGCATCCCGAATCCCAAAATAACCCCATATCCTGATGCCACACACAGAGCTCACTGATCCACCACCTTACTCACCTGTCACACTGGGCGCTGAGGGAGCCGGCGGGGCTGCATCCCCAGGGGTTGCATCCGCAGGGATGGCACTGCTGGCTGCTCGGATCCGGGAAGAAGCCCTGGGCACAGGTCTCGCAGCGCAGCCCCGCGTAGCCCTCGAGGCAGGGGCACTGCCCCGTGGTGCTGTTGCATTCTGTGCTGGCGCTGCCCACGGCGCTGCAGTTGCACAGGTCTCCTGCAAGGGGAAAGAGAAGCTGAAAGCAATGTGATGGGGACATGCCACCAAGCAGGACCAGTGTCCCTGCCCACCCCTTGCTTACCCTGGGCTGGAAGCATCGTCACCGTAAGGATGGTATTTGCTTTAAGATGCTGAGATGGTAAAAACAGCTGTTGGGAACACCCTTTAGGTGCTTTGGACGTGGGGGTTCAAAGCTCATGGTTCATGTTTCAAATCTCTCTCCAAAAAAGAGCTAGATTATGGGTCTAGCTACTTAAATACATACATATGTAGCTGTATATAATGTCTGTGCATATATATGCACACATATACACACTCCTGGCTGTCTAGTTACATACCTGCAGGAGCTGACAAGAGCTAGCTCCTGCAATATTAGGATAAAGTCAGCAATAGGTGGCAGAATCACTGCTTATCAGATCCTCCATTTCACCCAATTTACCAATGGGCTGGTTGTAGGACACCAGACATACACAACACACCTACACCATGAACCGGCACCGGTATATCCCACTCCTGAAGAATGCACAGAGTCCCATGGCTGGAAGCCAGAGGAGGAAAGGAGCTCCAGGCATTTGGGCCTGTGGCAGAGGTCCCACTGTAACTGCCCTCAGGGAAGCACCGAGCACATGAAAATGGCTTTAAAAACTCATGTGGTGGTGCTGGGGGCAGGATGGAGCCACTTAAACCACAACGGGCCACCTTTGTCCCCATGGTGAGCAGGGACAGCTTTGGGGACCCCTATATGAGGTTCAGGACCAATCCATATTAACAGGGCTATGGAAAGCACACACAAAGCAGCTGCCTTAAGAGAAGCAAATCTTCTAATGAAGTGAGGAATTCCCAGTCCCCCCACATGTTATTTCTCATCATACTTTAAAGCACCGAACGCACTGAAGGGAACCTCTCCCCAGCAATTTGTTTCTGCCAAGAGCTTTATCTCCATTCCTTCACTGCAAAATATTTAGTGTCTTAATAATTTAAAGGTCTTTTTCTGCCAAGAGTGAATGATAAACAAGGATTATTTGTAGAAGTAGTGCCTAAAGCATCAGGGGCTTTATGCAAATGCTGGTGTTTGTTCTTGCCTGGGAAAAGCCAGTGTTCAGGGCACTCCATAGGGAAGCTAGGTCCCCATCCCCAGACGACTTGGCTTAAAGCTCAAACCATATCAGGAAGACCCAGCTCTATGCAAGCACGAGTCTTTCATATTATTTAACATCTATATTGCACACTTGTGCCCCAATCCAATGGGAATGATCCCAGCAGGTGCCTGGAGCAAACCACACTTTAATGACTGGATAAAGATTCATTGATGAATACAGAAGTAATCTGCTGGAATCAGACCATGCTGAAGACCTCAGAGTATCATTGGAAACACAAGCCAGAAGGTGTCCTGCATCACAGGAGCTTTGTAAAGGCTCCCCAGTGCCCATCTTCCCTGGGGACCTGGGAAATAGCTCCTGGTGCTTTGACTTTTCATCTGTATTCTTCCAACACACAGAGAGATACAAGTTGCTGAGCTTTGTGATGCTGTCAATGCACGCACAGTGTCACCACAGAAGTCGTTTTGTACCTATACACCTGTGAAATTGCACCTAAATACTCTTCAATCTAAAGCAGCAAGTAGGACAAACACCTCGAGATCTGCAATTATCCACTTGAGCAGCCACTTCATGTAATGAACCAAATCCCCATCTCAATTATCCAAATGGAACCTTATCGATTTGGGCACTTGGGCTTCTCCCAGCCGATGGGAGCCAGGAAAACTTGTTGAGCAGAGAAAAAGCACTTTGGAGTTTGTCAAACATGCATCAAAACAGATTTACCTTTCAAAGCTCATTACGTGCAGTGCCATTAGACCCGCTAGACTTCATTAAGCAAAGACAACAAGTATTAGATCAGTTGTAACAGTGATGCTAGGGCAGGTCCAGCATGGGGCAAGAAGCTGCTCCACATGGAGCATGTATGCAATTGGAAAGACTCCTCCATGCTGATGGGGATCACCCATAAGCGCTGCCCCACTTCTGCCCTCTCCATCGAGCAGAAGTGATGGATGCAGCTCACTGGGAGCCATCTGAGTTCAAAAGGACACATAAGCACATCGCTGTAAAGATCCACTGCAGAGCCCAAAAAGCCTTCAGTGAGAGAGGGCTGTGGTGCAGCAGCTTTATGAACTTGGTTCTGTGGCCATGCCTGCACTACGGGGAAAAGAAAGGTTGTCCCCAAATACATTATACTGACAGGAGCAGGGAGAACTGATGTTGACAGCACCTTATCTTCCAGGAGTATCAGCCATGGGAAAAACACAAGGAAAAACCAGAAGTCAGAAGAGTTACTGCATATACTGGCAAAAGCCTCTTATTTCTTCTGCCCTTTATCAAAGGGCCTCAACCATCCATCATAAGGATCCAGCCATTGCCAAACCATGGTGCAACTCATTGGGAATGTCACTGCTACCTACAGAAGCCCCACACACGCCAGGCAGCAGCAGGAGGCAAAGGCAGGAACCAGCCAGGCCCTGCTGCCTTATCTGAGGGGTGCAAACACAAACAGCCTTGCTGGGAACAGCAGCTGACTTTGGGTTGATCTTGGCAATGGCACCAAGTACCAAAGTGGGTTCTCCTTCCAACAGCAGCTCTGTCTGTGCACAGAGAAGCTTTTGGGAAGCTGTACGCTTCCCAAACCCACACACAGCACCTTCCCGATGCCTTTTCATCTTTTCCTGCAGGTCTTTGCCCGTCAAAACCATACCAAATTGGGTCAAAACCTGGAAGCAGCTCAGCCTCAGCAGCAAACCCAACAGTAGCACAGATGCCACCAGCTCTGCTGTGCTGGTTTCCCATGAGAGCGAGAGAAATGCTGCAATAGCCCAAAATAACACAGGCAAAAAGCAGCTTTCTGCTCACAGGCTGGTGGAGCATCGGCTCCAGCTGCCTCAGCAGCAATGGGGGAAGCTGGTTCTGCTGCCAGCAGGGGAGCAGGGATGAGCCCTTCTGCTGCGGAAGCTATTGGGAGGCTGTAAAATCACCCCCAAGCGCATGATAAGACACAATGGAGCAGACAGGGAAGATACATCCATGAAGAGATGTTTCTTTGCAGGCCCTGCATCCCCAAAACCACCCCAGAGATTGCTGGGGAGGGATGGTGGCCTGGTTCAGGGCAGCAGCATCACTTGTGGTCCTCCCTACCTGCCTCCAAGCCACCCTCACTGCACCCAGCTCATCTCACACGTCCGCCTGGCTGATGCAACCCAAACATGCCCTTAAAGCCCCTTTGGTTGCAGCAGAGAAGAGCCAGCAGCAGCACTAAAATCCATTGCCGAGCACAGTGTTGAGGTTTGACATGATGATGTACCACACTATGAAAACCTGAGACTTAAATTAAAAGACACTTTGTTGTCCCAGTGGCAGCCGGGTTCAAGAAGATGAGAATGGTCCATAGCCTGAGTAAGAAAGTGATAACAAACATCTACCTTTACTCTGGGAACACAGCAAAGATGACAAGCACTACAGAGGATGATCAGGGAACATTACCCTGGCTCCTGGCCAGAACCTGGGTTTTTGGAGCCTTTATTCGGTTTTCTCAAGCAAATGCTTTAGATGTTGAAGGTAACCTTCAAAACTACCTTACCCAGAGCTTAGCAAACACAAAGGATTGAACCCCAGAGCTGCCCATACCAGCGTGCTCAGCCGTGGTTGGAGGTATCGTGTTGGGGTTGGGATAACACCATCAGCAACGGGATGCCAGGGCAAGGACCCCTCAGGGATGAGATGCTGGTCCAAGCTCTGACTCCCAGCTCACTCTAGTGACTCACCCTCACCCTGCCTCAGTTTCCCCATCCACAGGGTGTTCACCCAATCCTCCCTAGGGCCTCTGAGCCCTGCTTGTCTCTGCCACTTCGAACACATCAAGGTTTCCCTTCCTTCCCCATAAAGCACTTGGCTATCAGTGATAAAAACACCACCTTTGCTTGTGAAGGTGCTGACAGGCTCTAATTACTTAACAGCCTTGATGACATTTTGAGGTCCCAGAATAGAGGCACTATAAAAGAGCGTTATCACCATCACATGTTACTCCTTCAAGCCCAAAAACCCAAACACTGCTCCCGTCATGAGCAGCATTTTAACCTTTACTTTTCATTGCTTAGAGGCAGGTGGAATAGAAGGAAAGGTTTATAGTTTGCTACAGCAAAGGACAGGCTGCTGTATGGCAGACAGATTTAATGTGCAGTTCCACTTAGCTGCAACCCTGAGCTGATTGATTACTATTAGTTGTAGGTTACTAATAAATTGGAGTTATTTCTGGGTTTTCTTGTACTGGATGTGAACAGCACCAATGCAACCAAGAAACCACCAGGTTTGAGGAGTGCGTGACACCACATCCCTTCATCTCCCATCCCCTCACAGTACTTAAGTAGGACTCATGCTGGTTTAAAAATGATTTCTCACATCCTTTCAGTCTCGCAGTGGTTTAAGCATTCCCACATCTTTTAAGTGTGATTCCTTCTCTCATCCAAGCCACTTAATGAATGAATAATTGAAAACCAGGTGAAATATTTACAAACAGCAAAAGAAAACACTGTGAAACACACCAAGATGTCTGTGTGAAACCGTATTTGCTGGGGACATCCTGGAACAGTGCGAATCCTGAACCAAGTCACCTACTCATGGGAGCCAGCATGGAAAATCCAAGAACACCCTTCTCCCCATACTTTATTCCCAAATCCAACCCCTGCCTTCTCCCCCTTCCCCCTCATTTCCCACTCCCAGCCCCTCTCCAGACACAATTTATGACAACTCAGGAATAAAGGGATGAGGCAGAAGGTTTCAAAACCCATCCAAGGCCATTTCCTTTCCCCTTGTATTTAAATTGTGGAACTCATTGTCAGGGGATGCTCTGGGAGCCAGAAATACCTACAGCTTCAAAGCTGGTAGCTATTAAACACAGGGATCTGGAAGCATCCTGATGGCAAGTCCCTGAAACACCAGCTGCAAAGTCAG